CCCCGCCCCGCCACGCCAGTTTCAACGGTCCGACGGTGTCCATGGAACGTTGTCCCAGAGCGAGGAGGAAGGGGGAGAGGGCATCTAGGGGAAAGTGCGCGGCCATCTAGGGGGAAGCGCGCGGGGGATAACTCAGTTCTCATCGCGTTAATGAATGATCTCCGCCTTCTGAGCGTCTCATCGTTGATGATTACCTGCAGGTCACTTTGATTATCTGGCGGTCAGATTGGTGACGAAACGCTACAGCAATTCTTGAACTGCAAATTATCATCATATGGATCAATCTACGGACGGTGCAAGTTTTTGCAACGCTAACGATCGAAAGACGACTATTTGGAGTCGTTGATTTCTCTGCCCGATCGATCGACCACTCACACGAGTCACCAGACTCACCACCGCCTCACGACCGTTAATGACCGAGTCAAATGACCTGGAACCCGTAAATTGTTCGTAGAAGACAGACGATTTCGGGCATCGCCATACCACTCTCGAAATGTGCAAAATGGGAATGAACTTCCCGCTACAACATGGCCAGATGCACCCGCCAGATTTTTGTCGTTTGCACATTTCACAAGAGTGGTGTGGCGTGGCCCTTCCTGAGGTAAGGTATTGGTGACAACGCGCACAATTCTCATCGTCTAGTGAATGAATGATCCTACCGGTAGCGTCTCATGGTTGACTACGTGGCATCAAGGAGAGATCATGGAAGGTCGCTTGCGCGCAGCACCATAATTACCCCTGAGTGTGGAGCTAGGCTACCAGAGTGGCCCGGGGTCACTTGCCCGGCCGGGCCAAAACAAATTAAAAAAATAAAAATAAAAATATATATTTTCAATTTTTTTTTTTTTTTAATTTGGTGACGAATTTGGATGCGACCCTGAGGCAAAAGTTGTTCAGTTTATTTTTTTGCATAACATAGTTTGTTTTCGGATTTTTTGGATTCTGTCTTTTTTTTTTTTTTTTGCTGGGACCTTCCCTGGTCCTTGCACGGGCTGGCCACCTGCGACCCGGGCGGCCCGGCTGGTGGCCGAGGTATAGAGTCTTAATCTCCCGAATTAATCGGCAGCCTCAGTCGAGCCGCATGGCCGGGTCAACGAAATGGCGGGAAAGGCTTGGTGGATCGCCTTGACCGAGCCACGTGGCAGCCCAGCGAGATGGCGGGAAGGGCTCGGCGGGTCGATTGGTTTCCCGGTGGATTGGCCGGGTGCTTTCGTTTTTTCAATGGCCCGATGGACCACAGATCAGATATTAAACTGATCAGAAATACATTTGATCTTAGCCAAAAGGCCGAGAAAGGTATTGTCCCTTCTTGATGCTCAGGCGGGCGTTTCGGTTTTTTTTTTTTTTTTTTTTTTTT